GACATTGTAATGAAGACTAAAATGAATATAATATAGTGATCGGTGAGGGACGCTTTGCAAGGCAAGATCCTTCCTGTACTTTCTTGCTTTGCGTGATTAATCCCTTTGGATCTCGCCAAGTAAATTTTTCAAAGAAAAACACGCCTGCGGACCCAAAATTTTTTTTTATTGTCATTTCACCGAAAAATTTTTTCTAAATAACAAAATGCCATAGTTGGCAAAATGTTTTTTCGTTCTTTTGGGACAATTAGACACAAAGACAATTCATATTGAGACAATTGTGTACTAGACAATTGCACATAGGATAATTGCACATTAAGTGGCTAAAATACAATTAAGACAGCTATGTATAGGAGAGAGCAGGGATGTCACGGGTTGAGAAAAATGTCGGGTCGGGTTTCCAAAATTTTTCTCGGATCGGGTTTCGGGTTGAGCAAAAAGTCGGGTCGGGTTTCGGATCGGGTTTTCAAAATTTTCTTCGGATCGGGTTTCGGGTCGAAAAAAAGTCCGGGTATCTTCCCTTCTCAGCGCCGCAGGCGAAAAGTTTGAGAATTCTGGAAGGTCCGAAGCCAGATTTCTTCCTTTTTCAGCGCCGCAGGCGAAAATTTTCAGAATTTTGGAAGATCATTAAGCGAAAAATCTTCCCTTTTTCTCCGACGAGGGCGAAAATTTTGAGAAAACTCGGGTCGGGTTTCGGGTCGGGTTTTGAAAAATAAAAATTCTCGGGTCGGGTTTCGGGTCGGGTTTTAGAAAATTCCTCGGATCGGGTTTCGGGTATCGGGTCGAAAAAAAGGCCGGGTTTCGGGTATCGGGTTTCGGGTAACCCGTGACATCCCTGGGAGAGAGAGATTGGATTCAATTATTCAAATCCTATTTGCAATATTGTTTCTATCTTTCACGTTTCTTAGGGTATAAAAGCATGATATTTGACCATATGTAGTAATTTCGTCAAGAATGTTTAGTCGTCACTTTAGCAAATTTTCACGCCTTAGCGTAACAATTTTCTTAATTTTCTTCAACGGATTCGTCAATTCAGCGGGTTATTCCACAATTGGTGAAGGTCGTCATACGATAGAAAACGGGACAGTTACGTTGGCAAATGGGTCAAGGATCGCAACCAAAGTGGATGTAGATGAGTATCAAAATCAACCACGAGCTTGCAACGTGGAAATCGACGCTGAAGGGAATATGTGAGGAATTTGGAATCCTTTGAACAAAATTTTTTGTTATTTACAGCATTCTGAACTTCGATTGGTTCACTAACACTGCCTATGAGGGATGCACTGTAGATTTGGTTACCGAAATTGGGGGCGACAAAGAAACCAACGTTGTGGAGTTTACAGTGAGCTTTGATCATTATGGCGAGTCAGAGTTAAACACATGCATGAGCTGTGGTGGTATGAGCGGCAATATGTTAATCTTATCTAATTACGTTCAAAATAAAATATTTCTTTTTAGAATTCCATTCGTCTTCAACATAGATTCTAATGAGTTCGACGAACTTGTTCAAATGCCACCAAACGAATGGCCTTGTCAACGGCCGTGGAATAAGCTGTGGAGTTCATCTGAAATTCGAATTTGTTATTCGGGCGATGAAATACAAATAGGGTCGTTTATAGGTACTTAGTGCCTTTTCGACTGTAAATTTGATATTTACTCTTTTAGACACTCCAGGACCTCTGAATTTTTGGTTTTGGTGTCATCGGGATGCTAATAGAACATTTCAAAATTTAAAACAATTGGACTTTAATGTGGAAATAAATGGAGAAACTTTTGTTGTGAACCATACGGACTATAATTTCTCAAGATGTAAAAGTGAGAACTTTGCAAAGCCTTTGTGTTCGCCTGTTAAACCCAAAGTTTGGCCTATTGTGGGAAATGCTAAGCTGGAAGGAAAAGGCTTGCTGGCCTTCAGTCTTTTGCCTAGATATCAGATTATATTTCGCAGAGGATGTCATTTTGTTTCTCTGAAATTTGTGAGCTTTTACAATTTTCATTTTAACAATATTTTTTTATTTTTTCCAGTCTGGTAAAAAATATTCTCTTCTGACAACATTACCTCCATTACCTCCAAAGCCTCTTACTACAATGAATGGAACAACAATTGATGAAATTATCACTTTATTCAAAAGTAGTTTTTGTATTTTCTGATAACCTTTTACAGTTTTATTTTTTAGACAATGGAGACTTTGAGTATGAAAGCTCGACTTCTGATTCATCAAAAAACTTGACAAATCAACTAAATTCGTCCTCTACCCAAACAAACAAAACATCAATTATCGCCAAAATAAATGGGACTACAATGTTCAGCACTTTGACAAATGAAATCTCAACTGGCGGAAATTTAACAAATGAGCAAACAACTCCAACAGAAGAAACGACAATCAACGAAATATATTCTGGAACTCCACAGATCATCCCAGCCATAATAGTTACTACAACCGAAGCAACAACTATTGAGGAAACAACGTTGTTAGTCGAAACAACAACAGAAGACTTCTTTACAACAACTGAGGAAGCTACGACCGATGAAGATACGACCGAAGCTACGACTTATGAAGATACTACCGAAGATACGACTGATGAAGAGACGACCGAATATCCAACAGAGGAAACAAGCATTCCAACAACCTCAACAACAACAACGATCGTAACTTCATCTGAAATGACCACAACGTTTATTGATCCTACAGCAACTTCTGCTTCTCCAACAGAAGAAGAAACTACATCTACCTCTCAGATGGTCCTTCCTCCTCTTAAAACTTCAGAAAATCTTCCTGAAATAACAACACCAACAACAACAGAAGCAATTAAAACAACACAACAAGAAGCGTTAACTGCAACTAAAAGTCCTTCAAAAATTTGGATTTTTATTGTTGTGGTTGTTCTTTTGATGTGAGTTTAATGTTGGGACCTCATTGTGTGATACACCTTTGGGCTGAACACGTGGGAGTATCATAGCTTCCCACTCTTCCCTCCCTCTCTCCTAAAATGAGAGTGCCCTCTAGCGCCAACCAAATTAAAAAACCCTCGTGTATTCGTAGTGAGGTCCGACTACATTTATTTTTCTATTAATATCCAATTTTTAAATCTACCTCAATTTCAGATGTCTCAGTGTAGGTGGAGTCTTTTACTATCTCAACTACATGAAAAAGGAAGAACATTCTGTTGAAGAAGGTGTTAAAAGAGAGGATAGATCAAACGAAGAAGTCGACAAAACCGAAAGGGAAACAGAAGAGGATTCAATGAAAATTCTAAAAGATAAAAAGAAGCATCCAAGATTTGATGAAACACAAAGAGAAACTAAAAGGGAAACTACTATTAAACAATTATTTGACAAAACTCAAAGAAGCGAAAGTGAAGAGAAATCATTAAAAGAAGAAGAAAAACTTGATGCAACTTCTAAAACAGTAAGCGAAGAAGAAGTAACTATTGAGAATAAAACATTGCTTTCTGTTTATGCATCACAAACTGGAAATGGTAGTAAATTAAAGGAAGCAAAAGTTGAAGGAGAAAAATCAAAAAAGGAAGAAGAAAAGAAGGTTGAAGATAAAAATAATAATAAAAATAGTAGTGTTGCACTTTGATATATTTATATTAATTTAATTTTTGTTGTAAAATTGAAATGTAATCAACCAACATCACTTTAGGTATTTGGTTAAGTTTTCGTGATTTTCGGAAAATGGCCCAGAGGGATCCTTGGGGTTTTCTTCAACCCTAATAAATTCGATTTCCACACGGTCACTTTTATGCTTTGGACCATTCTTAAAAAACAAAAGAAAGTTTAACTTTTGAGTAAGTCGTTTACCAGTCGGAAGACTTGTATCTTAACAGCTTCCTCGCCTTCGACAAATCCTTTGATAGGATCGGACCAATATTTATCCACATCCGTAAATTTAATTTTGAAACAGTAGGTTACACAACGCCTGTGGGCTGTCGTTGTGAATAGCTACTCCGGTCTGCGGATTTGTCGAACGCTCTGGAGCTGCAAATGTACACGTGTTCCGTAAGGTGAGTGACATACTCAAAATTTTAAAAATTATATTATTTTTAAAAAGAATGGCCCCAAGTCAAATAATGATCGGATTGAAGTTGAGTTCATCCGAACTGATGATAATATCAAAGATCCTTCTGTACCATTTAAAACCCAAAAACCATCCCGGATAATCAAAGTGGAATTGAAAAATTGAAGTGGTGTTGAGAAATTGAAGGATTTTTTTGTCTAAACATTTGTGTGACTGATTTTTCTGATGTTGTTATAAATAGTTTTGTTATAAAACTTGCAACTACAAATGCAATTTTTGGCAGCTATTTATAACAACATCAGAAAAATCAGTCACACAAATGTTTAGACAAAAAAATCCTTCAATTTCTCAACACCACTTCAATTTTTCAATTCCACTTTGATTATCCGGGATGGTTTTTGGGTTTTAAATGGTACAGAAGGATCTTTGATATTATCATCAGTTCGGATGAACTCAACTTCAATCCGATCATTGTTTGACTTGGGGCCATTCTTTTTAAAAATAATATAATTTTTAAAATTTTGAGTATGTCACTCACCTTACGGACCACGTGTACATATGCAGCTCCAGAGCGTTCGACAAATCCGTAGATCGGAGTAGCTATTCACAACGACAGCCCACAGGCGTTGTGTGACCTACTGTTTCAAAATTAAATTTACGAATGTGGATACTATTATCCTTTTTTAGGAATGGTCCAAAGCCTAAAAGTGACCGTGTGGAAATCAAATTTATTAGAGTTAATAAAAACACAATGGGTCTTTTTGCGCCAGTTGCCAAATCACAAAAACTTAACCGAATATTTTAAGTTATGTTAGTTGCCTAAAAGAGATGTGCTTAATTAGTTTAATTGTATTTTTAACCAAAAAATAAACTTAACAATTGAACAAAAAATAAATTAATTAAAGTTTTTTTCCTTTTTAATTCCTCCTCTCAATATTTCACGAAAAGAAAGCCTTAAATTTAATAAAAAAATAATTAAAATCTCTCCCTCCAAAAAAACAAACAAACATCGTCATCATCATCGTAGGAAGGAGTGTTTGTTGGTGGATGTTTTTTCTTTAAATTATTATTTGGTGGGGGTAATCTATTAATATTTCTTGCAGTTAAAGAAGATCTAAGTCCAGACTGAAATGGAGTTATTTTTAATTGTTTTTCTAATTGAATTCTGCGAAGTTCAACTGTTTTTAAAAAAATAATAATTTTTTAAAATTAAAATTTTATTTAAACCATTAGTTAAATTAATTTGATTAACTAATTCTGGTGAAGGAAATTCTGAATTAAAAAAATTTAATAATTTCTAGCTTGTTTTTACCTTTACCTTTTGACTTTTCTGAAGAAGAATCTTTCCTTATTTGATACTTTTGGTTTTCAGTGTCCTCATCCATCGTAAATATACATGAACGTCCATTAGTATCTATAATTATAATTTGTATTTATGTTAAGAGAGTGGAGGAAGTTGAAGGAGGGATTAAGGAAAGCAGGAGCATATAGGTCAATTTGGTAAAATTATGGGGGATATAAAGGGATTAAGGGATATAGAGGTCCCGTTTAATCTCCACAAATTAGTACTCGCCGGTACCGCAAATTTGGCCGGAGCCGGAACCAAAAAATCCCGGAGCTTCCTGCCTACCGGAACGAAACTTCCGGCGAAGCTCTACCACTCTTATCACTCAATCGAAACAATTAATTGTAAAGTGTTTGAACTTTTTTTTTTAATTTTTAGCCATCTATGTATTTCGTGTCAACCTGAAGAGGATAAGAAGTGTTCAACTAAAAGTAATCTTGTAATGACCGTTTATATTTTCGGAATTAAATAAACAAATCTGCCCTAATCATCTCCACTTTAACTAAAAAATATTTTTTACTTTCAGTTTTTTCATTTCGATATTTCTTTTCATTTTCTTCTATTATTCCATAATTATTAGAAGAGGATGATGAAGATGAAGAAGAACAGGAATAAATTCTCTGTCTTAATTTATTATTTTCAATTTCTTTAAAAGAAGTTTGAACTGTTAATTTTGGAAGAATTTTTATCTAAAAAATTTTTTTTGTTAAAGATATTAATCAGTCGAACCTCGATTTTAAATACTCAGCTTGAGAATGTATCAGGGATGGATAATTTTCAATTTTAAAAAGCGGAAGAGCAAAAAAAGCGGAATTCTGCGGAAGGCGGAAGCGGATCCATCCCTAGTTGTATCCTATGGAGCGTATCTCAAAATGAGGGGTATACTAAATATTAGACAGCTCCTTCAACCCAATGGCCAAACAAAATTTAAAGTATCTTGGATTAAAAAATACCTAATTTTGGGGGTATTTAAAAATGAGGGTCGACACTTGTTTCTTAAGAAAAACCTCTATATTATTATTCTCTTTATTTTCTAATTCTTCCATTAAATTATTTTTAATTTGGTTTATTGGGTCCTATAAAAATTTAAAAATAATTTTTCAAAATTATTTTTCCATACATTTATTAAATTCTGGTTTCTTTTAAATAAATCAGAATCAGAAATTGCTCTTCTTTTTATATTTTTATTTGGTTGAGTTTGGTGATTAAAAGACTTTAAAAAAATTAAATTATAAATTTATTTTTAAAGGAAAAATACTTGATTAATTATATTTTGTAAGGGTTGTGTAGTTGTAAAAATAGGTGAATCATTTCTTGTAAAATTATTATTATTTAAATTATCTAAAGTAATTTTTCCACAACAATAAAAATATTGATGGAAAAATAATAAACTTTTTAAAGGAAAATTTTTAAAAAATTAAAAGAAAAATTCAAACCATTTTTTTCTATTTAAAATAAAAAATAAAAATAATATTCCAATAATAATTACACAAATAATTCCCAAAATAAGTGGAAACCAAAAACGTTTAATTCTTTGTTCTCTTATATTCTTTAAATTAAAATTAATTTATATTAATTTAATTATAATCGAAACTTCACAATAAAATACCCCCAAAAATTCTCAATTTAAGAGATGTGTTTTATTTAAGATTTAGTAGTCCAAAGGAAGAGGGGCTGTCTAAGCAAAACCTTCTCATTTAAGATCACGTATATGCTCAGATAATTGACCTCTCTTAAATAATTACTAGAGTTCGAAATTTGGAAATGCCGGATCCAGTTTCGGAATTTAAGAAATTTTTTTATCCGGACCGATTTTTCGGATCAAAATCCCAAAAGTCCGGAAATCCCGACCCGGATCCGGTCCGGATTCAAACCTCTAATAATTACCCTCTAAGCCAGATGAATAAATAACCTAATGGACCGGAAAGAGATCTCGATCAAAAATCTCGGTTATCGAGATGGCGATTTTTTGAGATACAATTTTTTGTTCTATCTTATAGTGAGGTCTAATTATAATTTTTAAATCAAATTTACTTGTTCATTATTTAAAAATTCAACAAATATTTTTCTACATTCAAATATTTCCCCTCTAATTTGTATACATTCACTTCCTTTAAAAATAATTTAAAAAAAATTTTTTTTATTTTTTAACCAGTAGGACAAGGTTCTGGCTGGTCAGGTTTACAACTTCCATCCCATACTTGATCACATTCAAAAATATTTTTAGCACCTAATTGTTTAGTTATATACCCCTCTGGACATTTTTTACATTTATTAGAGCCATATTCATTCTTTTTAAAAAGATTTAATTTTCTAAAAATTTCCTCAAAATCACCTCATAATAACCAATAGGGCAAGGTAAACAAATTTGTAAAAATTCAAAATTTAAATTAATTTCTTCATTAATTAATTTATTATTTGCAAAATAGCCAGGGGGACAATTAATTTGGTTGCACTCTTTTGAATTTACAGACCCTTCTTTTTTTGTTGTAAAACCAATCTTTTTTTAAAATATTTTTAAAAATTTTAAAAATATTTACTTGACATCGTTGACATACACTCATTAATCCTTCCCTAAATGTTCCTTTCATACAGGGTTGGCATTGTTCGTTTTGCCCCATTTCTTCTCCATCTTTACATTTAATCGAGCATTCTTCTTTACTAATTGAGCCCTTTATTAAATTACAAAATGACTTTTAAGTAAATCTTCAGAGATTAGATTAGGTAGACTGGTAGTAAATAATTCTAGAGGCTCAGAATTTAGGTGAACTGGAATTACTAATCCTGCCTTCCGATTTCCAATATTAAGACTAGCACCGATTTTATACACCTCAGACTATTCATAGTCAGAGTAGAGATCGAACAGAGCGAGATCTCGAATCAAAATTCCTTTTACCGTGATTTTTCGAGATATTTATATCAATTCTTGTACGACTCATCTTCAAAGTCCAGGCTCTTTAGTCCGACCATTTGTTAATCACGAATAAATTAATTACCTCCCCAACAGTAGTTCTATCTATTGGGCATGCCAAACATTTTAATCTTCCACTATAAGGCATAAACTGACCACGAGGACAAGGAATACATTTATCATTTTCCCAATTATAAATATAGCCTGGAGAACAATTTTCTATTTATTAAAAATAATTAAATAATTATTTATTTAAATAATTACTATAACAATCGGATAAATATATACAGCCAGATACACCCCCAGTTATTCTTCCATTTGGACATGGAATACAATTTTGAATTCTAAAATTAATTTTCTAAAATATTTTTTGACTAAATTAGAAACCCTTCAGTTGTTTTAAAAGTATTTGGAGGGCATTTTTCACACTTGCCTGATGAGACATTTTTATTCAGAATAAAGCCAAAATTCTAAAAAAGGATATTTTTTTATAAATTCTTTATCAATATCCATTTACTATCCTATTAAAGTCTCCAAAAAATTTTTAAAAATAAATTATAATTTACTTTCGTAGTAATTGTTGTATATTTCTGTTCAGTATCCTTCCATGTTTCTCCTGGAGCACAAGTAGAACATTGAATAATTGGAAGGGATTTTGGGTCAGAAATGTTTGTATTCGACTAGAAAATAATCAAATAAAGTTGGATTTAAATATAAATTTGGATACACCTTTGGATGGAACAAATAACGTGGGTATCTTAAATAGGACGGGGTAAAGGTTATAAGTCGGTAGAAGAGGGATAAAGTTGATATGGTACATATATGGTCTAAAACCGCATAAAATAAAAGTTGAAAAATCGTGTCTTATAGTGAGGGTATTTTAAAGAGGAGAGGTATCACTTATTAAGTCTCTTAAGTAAATTTAATATGGCATATATTAAACAGAAGTTTATCCATCGGGAGGGCTGCCATTTTAACAATAAATCACCTTATTTTCAATATCAAGTTGAGGAAAATTATCAGAACAACTTAAACGTGTTTGTTCTTCTTTAAAATTATTTCCAAACAAGAATTTTAAATAATTCAAAATAACAGGGCCAACAGAATATTTTAAATTTCTTTTTTTAAAAAAATAAATTTAATTTTAACTTTAAATATTTAAATTACCTTAAATTCAAATAAAATTTTATTTTAATTATATTTTTATTTTCTTCCCGTTTAATTAATCTTTTTTGAATTTTTCTAAAATTTCCTTCCATCCAAAAAGTAGATTTTTCTTCATTTTCAAAAGAACAAGCAGATCTAATAAATAATTGGCCATCACAATTTTCTTTTTCACAAAAACCTCCAAATTTTTCAGAAATATTTAAAATACTTCGAGTCTATAAAACAGAAATATTGGAAAAATAAGAAAGTAGATAAGGTAATATATTTTTGAAAATAAAAAGGAAAATGTTCTAAAAATCAATCTAAACTAGAGACCTGACTTGGAGGGTTGTAAGTGAATCGAGACTGATATCTCGAACAATATCGATCAAGATAACAGGGATTTTTGTTCGAGATCTTGTCTAGGTTTGTAGTCTGAATATTCCTGAAGCCCAGTTTTTATTTGTATTTTTGAAGAGCCAAATCGGTTGGTAACCAAGGCCCGTCCGTCTCGATTCACGAAAAGCTGGAATCAGGGGTGAGCGCATTGCGTTTTGCGTTTTGCGTTTTGCGTTATTTGCGTTAAATTTTGGCCTTGCGTTGCGTTTTGCGTCTTGCGTTATTTTCGATGAAATTAACGCAAAAAATATACCCAATCTGAGGACAAAATTGGAGAAATCCGGCTTATTGACCTTCCAAAATTCTAAAAATTTTGCCTACGGCGCTAAAAAAGGAAGAAATTTTGCTTTCTGGCCTTCCAAAATTCTCAAAATTTTCGCTTGCGGCGCAGAAAATGGAGGAGGGATAAAGTGGCTAAGTGGAAAATATCGGGGGAAATGAGGTGATAGAAGACTATCGGTCGATTTACTGCGATTAAGGTTGATTTAAAAAGATATCGGGGGTTTGTAGGGATATCCTGCTATATCTCTTCAATCCCTGATAACTACTATATGCTCAAATCCCTGTTATTCTTCTAATCTGAAGGCAAAAATTGGGAGAAATCTAGCTTCTGCTTTCCAAAATTCTCAAAATTTTTGCCTGCGGCGCTGAAAGCAAGGTATTTAAATACCAATTTTCCATCTTGGAACGGCTCAAAAAATATCGGTCAGTATCTGGAGCTCAGATCTCAAGTTATCCTCCAAATCACCTGATATCCCCGGAATCAAATTATAAATACTGATAGCTCTTTATCCTCTGTTATCTCTCTAACTCACCCGACAGCCTTCAGTAATCCCATGGTATCTTTTTAAATCTCCTTGATCGCTCCAAATTACATGATAATCTCCGTAATCCCCCGCTACTTCGTTAAACCCCTTGATCCTTCTAAATCCTCTGACTTCCTTCATAATCCCTTCAAATCCTTTATCCCTCTCCAAAACATTACCCATCCAAATTACATGTATCACAAACTTAATTAGGACTCGCTGACTTATAGTAATACACCAATTTTAACTGAAAAATGGCTAATACTTAATTTAAAAAATTTTTTTCCCAATTTTGCGTTCTTGCGTTTTGCGTTTTGCGTCTTGCGTTATTTGCGTTAAATTTTGGCCTTGCGTTGCGTTTTGCGTCTTGCGTTTTTTGAGATTGTCTCTTGCGCTCACCCCTGGCTGGAATCAGCTTAGTCCGCAAAAACAAAGTTAAAGTCTACTCGAGTATATTTTAATTTTAATTAATTAATAACAAACAATTTCATCTTGATATTCATTATAATTAGAGCAAAAACCATTAAAATTTAAATTCCCCTCAATTTCTTGTAAAACATTTTCTGTAGAAGAACATGAAGGAAATTCAAAAGGAATTCCTATATTTTCCCAATGATTCCATTTCCCCTTAAAATTTTTTTAAAAAATCTACATAATTTAAATTTAAAAACCAATCTATCACAAATATAAAATGGTTGTTGTTTTTTAAAAATATATTCATTATTTTTACAAAATAATTTTGCATTAAATTCTGCTTCAGAATTTTCTTTCAAATCCATTTTGTTTAAAATAAAAATTGTTAAATTATTGTTTTTTGAATTATTTGAAGGTAATTGACATTTATTTGGAGAAATGATAATATTAAACTAAAAAAATTTTGTTTTTTTAAATAGGAAAGAAAAGCAGGGCTTCCCTCATAATTAGACCTATTACTATTTAAAAGATACCACCATAAGTTAAATAGTCGACTGTTACATTAAGGATGGGGAAATAATGGAAATCAGTCTACCGCTTGATCGGGCGAACTAGGCTGATTTAACAAACTAAACTCTTTTGCAACTAATTCTCCAACTAACTCTCCAGCTAACTAGCTAACTGATTACAAAATCTTACTTCACTTGGATTCTAAAGTCAGCCTTGTATGCGGAGGCTCAATAATTTTCTAAAAATTTCACTGTAGAATATGTAGAATACCCCTTCTCTTTATAAGAGGGATATTTTATGCATTTAAAATGAAGTCCAGAGATCCAAATGTTTAGTTAAACTTAAATTACCTCACAAGAATCCCAATAACCAAAAGAATCTTCGACATAGTAAATAATTCTATAATAACCCCAAGTAAATATTTGTCCAGGTCTAAAATTGCTTTCAAAACGAACAATTGGATTTTGAATGGAGAAAGGAAACATCTTATTAAATGAATCTAAATATTGAGAATTTTTAAAAGAATTTTTAAAAGAAGAGAGTTAATTTTCTAGTCATAAATCCACACCAAATATTATAACAGGAAAGTCAACTCAATTAAAAAAAATAATAAACTAACCATCCCAATTTACATTAATTAATCTTTGATTTGGATTATCCAAAATAATATGTTGAGATTCTGGGCATTTAATTGGAATTTTTGTTGATTTAACTTAAAAATATAACAAAAATATACTGTCAGACTTACTATAAAATATAGTACACTTAGGATTGAAAAATCGTTCTTAAAAATAATCCTTATATCTTAAATAGAGCGTATCGTTTAGACAGCTCTAAACACCCAACGGCTAACCCATATTTTAAAAAAATGTACCCTTAAAATAGAGCTGTATCGATCATTGGGAAATAATTTTGTTGATTTAACTTAAAAAATATACACCTCTAACATACACACAATCCTGAGGGCTTATCTTAAAAGGGATATATAAAATAATAGGGGCTAAAAGTTATAGGCCGTTCGAAGAGGGATAAAGTGGATATATGGTCTAAAAGCCGGTAAAGATTATAGATCGAATAATACGGGATAAAGGGGATATATGGAATAAAAGGTAGTATATATCCTAAAATAGAGGTATATCTATCACTGGGAAATAATAATGCTTATCTTTAAAATACACAAAACCCTAAGGGTTAATATTATAGTGAGAGTTGAGTATATTTTATTAAATAAAAATTCAAATTACAATTTTCATTTTCATTAAAACAATTATTTTCTCCAAATTTACAATAATTATTTAAACAAATTCCAGGATGTATAACAATAATTGCCGAATTATAAACAATAATACTACTAAAATTAGTCCAAGCAATTAACGGTTCAATAGAAAAATAATTATTATTTAAACAATTATTTAATAAATAATTTATTTGTTTTGAATTAAATGATTCCGAATAAAGCTAAAAATAAATTTTTTAATTTTATTAAAGAAAAATTTAAAAAATAAAGTCGGTCCACATTATAATTAATTGAAGACCTTGGTATTAAAAAAACACCTTATAATGAGAAAAATCTTAAAAATTGAGGGTATTGTTTAGACAGCTCCCCCACAAAGGTTGGCAGATCCCTGGAAATCTTCGGATAGCCGAACCAAAAAGTTCTGCTTATCCGGATCCGGCACTCTTAAATCCCACCCAACGAGGAATATTATATTGAAGTAACTAACTTCAATAATCGTAACTAGGGGGTTGGATTTTTCGAATCGGGCCGATGTTCGAGTAATATTTTAGGGTCAAAATTCGATGCCCGACCGAATCGGGCTCCTAACCCTAGTAATGACCGACTGCAATAATTCTTCTAATTCTAAAAATAAACTTCAGCTTTGCTAATTTGTCCAATAAAATAATTATTTTCTTCATTTCCATTTTCTCCAATAAAAATTCTACACTCGTTATTTATTAATTCAGGCCATTTCCAAGAAAATATTAAATTTTTAATTAAATTTCCATTTAAATAAAGACTTAAATAATTATTTGAATTATCCCCATTAGAAGCAATACAAATCTTTAAAAATATAAAGAATTATTATTTAAATATTTAAATATATATGTACGTGATTCCATATATTATTCTCAAAATTTTCATTGTTTCCATAAGTAATATTTAATTGAGAATTTTTTGAAGTAAAAATATTCAAGTTAAATTCATCTAATTCTAGTAGACTTGTATAACTTTAAAAAAATAAAAATAATTACTAATTACTTAAGGTATCGAAACTTAGTTTTGAAATGGAGGATATACGTTAAATGTTTGTTAAACATACCATATTTTTTCGATTAATTCCCCTCACTCGAATAATTCCCCCTCTCGATTAATTCCCCCTGCCAGGGAGGTGTTGAAATAATAATTCCCCACCCCCAAATACCCTACTGCACGTTTAAATGCCAAAACTCGAATAATTCCCCATCCCCAAATACCCTACTGCACGTTTAAATGCCAAAACTCGAATAATTCCCCATCCCACGTATAGTTTGAAATATTAATTCCCCAGGGGAATTAATCGAGAAAATACGGTAATACGTTAACACATTGTACGACACCCCCATTTGCAATTCTGCTCACACTAACTACAATTTTTTTCTGGCCAAAAGGTGAAGATACGAGCAAGATTCGACACCGACACCACTTGTACGACATTCTCACTTTAACGCTTTTTCTGCACGAGATCACAAGAGGTGCCGTTACAAGTGGAGGCCCAATTTAATTTACTATAAAAGGTCTACTTCCCTACCCACTAAATTAATCAACTCTACATTCACCACTGATCACCAAAGCCGTCTTCATTGTCAACTATCAAATGGCTCAGGCTCAGCGCGCAACTTGTCCCGAATGCAGGGCGGAGGTCGGAAGCCAGCCTACAATCTTCGCTCAGGGGCAGCTTTGGTACGTTTCTCAACTCTTTTTTGTCGGAAATTTTTTTTCCTTTTACAGGCATCGTGAACACTTCCGTTGCGCCAACAATGATTGCCGCCGTCCATTGGATGCCAACTATCAGGCAAGAAATAATTCAAATTTGATTTGAATTTTCAATAAACAAAAGTTTTTTTTCTAGGTGTTCGAGAACCGTCCCTACTGCCTGGAATGCCATGCTAATCGCCGCAATCCAAGATGTGCCCTCGAGACTTGCCAACAGGTCCTGGCTGGAGAGGTCTACTTCGCTTTGGACAACTACTGGCACCCGCAATGCTTTCGCTGTGAAGGATGTTCTCGTCCATTGGAAGGCGGAAACTACTACTTGGTGGATAATCGACCATATGGTGCGGATTTTTTTTTGAAAATTTTTTTGAAGAAAAAAATTATTCTTTTTTTCAGACTTGGCCTGTCACTGGGGAAGGCGTCTCGCTCTTCAGAACAGAAACGACCAGCTCTGATTCTGCTCTCTCACAATGATGTCTTCGATGCTTCAAACAGGATCAAATGCTAATAATGAAGGATGCTAATAAGAATGTTGATATTCTCTAAATAGATATATGTATTTTTGTGATTGTATATAGATTATTGTATGTATGTAAATTGTTGATTGTTTATATTGTATATAAATTAGTTTTGTATTCGTGGTTAGAATTTTGGAAAATGAAATTTTGCCTGCGCGTTAAAGAGCGAGTCATGAAACTTATGTAGTCGTGTAAGCCTAGCAGCAATTAAAAGGCTTAGGCGGGTGTTAAACGATCTAAAAAGGGAAAAGATAAAGCATTAAGTAGCTCAATGGTAGAGCTTCCATATGTGGTGAGCGAAAGCGCCTAGCAATAACTACGAGGAGGTCGAAGGAAAATTCCTTGGGTAAATAAATTCAAAGAAGTATCCCCGATCTCATTTTAATTTTTTAGCTCTCAAATCCTAACAGAACTTCAGATAACTAAATTTAATTTTAAAAATAAACACAAACTTGTTTCCATTAAGCATAGCAAAAGTAAAAAACGTTTGCCTTTCCCTTTCATTTTTAAAATAATTATTAATGAAATTCTTGTCAATTTCTCCAAATTTAACCCACAAACAAAAAGTAAACTTATCTTTTGAACAAATAAAATTTAAAATTAATTTAAAATTTCAATTTACCTAAAGTTGTTTTACAAGAAAATGATTGAGAATTAATTTTTTGATTAATTGGGGAATTTATTTTGGCTTTAATTCCAGCAAAATATAAATTAAAATTGGGTAATTTTTCTTCAGGAAAAAATAATTAATTATTAAATAAATAAATTTACTTGTTTCACAATAAATTCCAGTATATGGGGGTAAACATTTACAATAACGATGGGTTGTGTTTGGTAATAAATGACATTCGCCCGCATTATTACAGAAATCTGGTTTTTGTTGACAGGGATTCTGAATAGATTTTTTGTGTGAAAATATTTTAGGAAGCTACATATTTTTTGATAATTTTATGAGTATTATTTAACTAAAAAAATAAAGGAACACAGCATTCCAATTAAATTAGAGCTGTTTCGAAACCAAAAAAAAATTAATTTGAAAATTGGAAATAGAAAGTTTGAAACAGCTCTGATTGGAGTGTATTCTTTAATTATTAAGGGTATTTGATAAGACTTAAGTCTGGAATAATTTTATCCTTAATCATTCAGGCTCTGGGAACTTAACAAGTCCTCAGGCTCACATAGGGATTGATATTCCCGCTCAACAATTTTTATTTTAGAGGATCTTTGGGTTGATCATATCCTCAGGCTTGCCGAGGCATTGATATTCCCGCTTAATAATTTTGATTTTTTTTAGAATTTTTGTTAAAATCCTTTATATGTAAGATATAGTTTTTCCAGTCTCATGGGGGTACCTAAAAATCAGCTTTTTAATTTAGAGACATTTTAATTTACAAAATTATTAGCTGAATTAATCCTTTATTGCCTTCCTTACCTCTAAAATATCCACGGAATTATCTCCATCCATAAATAAATTTTCTTTAGAATTTTCGCAATTTATACCTGAACCTAAAAAATATTTTCAACAAAATTTCCAAAAAATATTCAAGAAAACCATTATTTAAACATTCACAAAAATATTTATTGTCAACAGAATTATTTAAACATTTCCCTCCATTTAAACAAATTTCAGGTAAAGAACAATAATTCATTAAATATTCACAATTATTACCCTTTTAATTTAAAATTAATCTAAAACAAATTAAAAACAAACAAAATAATTATTTAAACATTTGCATTTAATTGAAGAATTTAAAGAAATACATTCTCCCCCATTTTTACAAAAATTATTTTGATTAATACACAAATTGTTTAATTGAGGAATACAAGAATAATTACCTAGAAAAGAATATTTTTAAGTAAACTGATAGTCGAATCTAATTTAAGGTACGCGATTGGCAAACCAATGTGGTTTTTGCTGGCTTTTTCCTTTTTAGATTTAAGTAGGTATCTTTAAAAAATTCTGATTTAAGTTTGAACCTTATAATGAAGAGTACATATGTATCAAAAAATCGTATCTTATAATGAAGAAAAAGTTGCAAAAGTTTAGCCACTGGGCAGGATTCGAACCTGCGACCACCTGCTATTTGTTGTTAGGCGCTTTCGCTCACCATATGCAGGAGCTTTACCTCTGAGCTACCGGGGCATCGACTAAACCGTTCTCTTCCCCCCCCCCCCCTAAACCCCGCCTAAGCGTTTTAAATGCTGCTGGGTGAATCGTCCTTACAATGATTTATACCTCCTTAAATTGAAGGAGGTGTTCAGCTCCTCTCAATAGCCACCCAAACTTAAAAAACGTATTTTAAATTGGGTATAATTTCGGAATACTAAACAGACTCCGATTGAGACAAATTATATGTCATTCGACTCAGCTCGGCGAGCTGAGTCGAATGACATCAAAAAATCGATTGGGACGTAACTATGGGCCGAGATACAGGGCTCGAAATGGTCAAAAACCATAGGGGGGACCAAGCACTTTTTTGGGGTGAAAAATTCGAAAATGCAAATAATAGCTCATTCGAAAGAGCTCCTCGAGCTGAGTCGAATGAGACCAAAATCAGCGAAATCCGATTTGATATGACAAAGTTATGATCGTTTGTTTTAGCTCCTTACCTTTGTTCTCAGTGGATTTTCTTGCTGTTGTGGAGGAAGCCGGACATGACCATCACAGCGATAATTGGAATAGGATTAAGTTACGAGCCCAGACCCAGCGCCCGTAGACTCCCCGCGAGGCGCGTGCCGCAAAACTCCGCGCGAAGCGCGGAGTTTTGCACAAGCGCCTCGCCGACGCCCCATAGGTTTACGTTGTCTTTTTTTCTGTCATAACTTCGGTTAAACTTGACCAATCACGGCGATTTCGGTCTCATTCGACTCAGCTCGAGGAGCTCTTTCGAATGAGCTATCATTTGCATTTTCGAATTTTTCACCCCAAAAAAGTGCTTGGTCCCCCCTATGGTTTTTGACCATTTCGAGCCCTGTATCTCGGCCCATAGTTACGTCCCAATCGATTTTTTGATGTCATTCGACTCAGCTCGCCGAGCTGAGTCGAATGACATATAATTTGTCCCAATCGGAGTCTGTTTAGTATTCCGAAATTATTCCTTTAAATTGAAGCTTATCTAAGCTATAGAATAGCTTATAGTGAGGTTCGTCCGTATAATTAAAATCGAAAAAAGCTTCCAAATTTTTCCAACCTTCATTATTATCATTCTCTCCACATTTACACAATAATTCTATTGCCCCCGTACTCATATTAAAATAAGCATTACATTCATAATTTTCTTCTTTTAAACATAAACCATTAAATAAATTACAAGGATTTGATTTAAACTTTAGAAATTTAAAAAATTGGAAAGAATTCTTTAAATTACTTGACATTTATTTCCATAAAATCCAATTAAACATTTACATAAATTATTTTCAATACATTCACCTTCATTTAAACATTCACAAGAATTGTTTTTTAAATTATTATTTTGTTTACCTTCACAAAATTCTCCAAAAAATCCTTTTGAAAAATAAAATTCTAAGGATTAAAAAATAAATTAATTAAAAATTTTCCCCCATGAAAGAAATCCTGTATCTTGTTTTTATTTCTATTTATTGTCTAAAATTGGGTTCCCTTCCAAGTTTTAAAAATAAAAAGTTCAAGCAGAATTCTTGTCTTTTTCCCTTAGTCCTTGAATAGGGGCAAAAACAGGTCCCGACTAGAGTTTTTGCCGCTAGTCTTTGTCCTATTCCAGTTTTGAACAGCTGGATGTATTGAAAATCGAAATTTGTACAATTTACCCCTGCTGACTATAGACCAATAAAAATAAGTCGAATTATATATAAAATACAAATTTAATTTTTAAATATTTTAAAGTTACCTTCCCTACATTCGCAAAAAATAATTTCTTCCTCAAAAATATTTTTTTCACCTTCTTCTAATACCTTACAATAACCATTCTGTCCACACCAATTTTCTTTTAGACATTTTTCTATTTTTGTTTCTTTTTTAATTTGGCAATAATTACCTTCAAAATTTGGAGGACACAAACATTTAGTTGATAAACTTTAATTTAAAAAATAATTAATCTAATTTTTAATTTAATAATAAATCCAAACATATTCTTATTTATAGAACAGATCCCTCCATTTAAACATTTATTTAATTGACAATTATTTTTACTCAGTTCTTCGTTGTCTTCTTCTTGTTTTTGATTTATTTCACATCTAGTTCCATTAAAACCTTTTTAAATAAATTATTTGGAATCTCATTATAAGATAACCACTTGAGGGATGAAATCATAGCTTATAATGAGTTGTATATTAAATAGGGGGTTTTGCCTACCCAATGACAGGGGTCGATCGGAATTCCTATTTCCGGTGTTTTTCCCTACGATTTCCGAGTTCCAACACCTTCGTCATCTACGATTGACCCCTGCCCAGTGAATAACTAATTTTTAAAAAACGTCTTTTAAATAGAGGTGTATCTAATTTTTAGGTGTATTTTATAGTGAGAAATTATTAAATTAATTTAATCTTTACCTTCTAAACACAAACATTTAGACCCATTTAAATAATCAAATAAACATTTCCCTCCATTTAAACAAAAAGAAGCATTACAAAGATTTAAAGGTATAGAACAATCTATTCCCGTAAACCCCAAATTGCAGGTACAGAAACCTTTCAAAAATAAATATTTAAAAATTAATTTTTTTCCTAAATTACCTTTACAATTTTTGTCAATTATTTCAAAATTGCTTGAAGATTTATTTAAAATTTTTGAATATTCTTCACATTTTAGTAATTCTTTATTAAATATCCAACCATCAGGACAATTTAAATGGTAGATGAATGAATGTTTTTGGACAGAAAAAGGACCTTAGATTGTTAATTAAAACAGTCTGACCTCACTATTAAATGCCCTCTTAGGGGCTGAAAGAATTGTCTCTCATAATGGGGTATATCTTAAATAGAGGGTATTGCTTAGACACTTCTTCCAACCGGATTTATAAAACGTCTCTTAAATAGAGGTGTATCTAGTATTTGGGGTACCTTGTAGAGGAGGTACCTTATAATGAGATGTACCTTAAATAGAGGCATTGCTTCGACCTCCCCTCCTACACGCAATGGCCAACCAGATTTTAAGAAAACGTCTTTTAAATAAAGGGGTACCTAATATTAGAGGTACCTAAAAAAGAGGTTTATTAAACTACCATTAGGGCATTCTCCATTAAATAAATTTATTGGCACTAAAGGCATTGATGAATTAACAAAAAATTCTTCAAGTAATTTAATACATTTATTTAAATTATTAGGAGAACTAAAAATTAAATTAAAAAAATTTATTTAAAAATATTCACTTTTCTGTTCCAGTTGTAAAATTTTGTGTAATTTTGGTTAAATTATAAAATTGTGATTGAGACCCCCAATTAATATTTGGACATTTCTGGCTAATTAATTTTAATAAATATGGTCTTAAAAATTAATTGGATTTAAATAAAATTTAATTAAAATTACCTAATTGACTTGACTAAATTTTTAATACAAATAATATTTTTATTATTAAAAGTAGAAGTAGACCAAATAGGTAATAATTCAATAGAAATTGTTATTGGAGGACTAAAATTAAATATTTTTTAATTTGGGTATTTAGACTTGGGTATGTTAAGATTAGGGAGTTTCGATATTTCCGGGGTTGGGGTGAAATTAAATTATGAAGGGATCCCCTGTACTGCTGGGATACCGATTTTATTGCTAAAAAATTCATTAAAAATTCCCAAAATCTCCAAAAATTTTCCAAAAAATCTTCAATATTTAAAAAATATTTGAACATTTCTGGCCAATTAATTTTAATTTTTAGTTAGGGTATTCAGATTTGGGCAAGTTAATTTATTATTACATCACACATGAAAAAATAATTGTTCTCATTGCCTCATTCCAGCAAATAAACGTTTGGAACAGGTGAAGATCTTTATTTAATAAAGAAATCCTCTAATTGGATTTTAAAAAATATACATAAATAAAAAATTAAAAAATCGAGATCGTCATTTTTTAAAAGAATAAACTCGTACCTCTCTAAATTCTCATTCTTTTTTTCTTCTTCCAAAAAGTTTAATTTTGTAAAACATTTAATACTAATTTCGTGTCGGTCAACAACTTCCCATTGAATTTCTGTTAAATTATCAGGTAATGAAATTGGTATATTTGGGTGGACTAGAGGAATATTTAATGGACGAATATTAAAATAAGGATCATTATCCGCTATTTGAGGCCTAAAAATAAAAATTGTTTTTTTAGAGAAGTTAAAGCAATTTAATTAAATTTTAGCGTAATATTTATTTTTAGTTTTTGAATATTTAGTATACCGTATTTACTCGAACAATTCCCCACCCTCTATTAATTTCCCATGCCACGGATGGGTTGAAAAAATAATTCCTCGGGGGAATTAATCGAGTAAATACGGTACCTATGTTATGTTTCTTTAGGAAAAAAACGTTTGGAACGAGTTTTTCGGGTTTGGGGTGAAATATTCCCAAAATGTTAGAAGCGTTAATTAGTCAACGAAGGGCGATTATTTGAAGGAATAATAAAAAGTGCGACAATTTAATCGCGGCATTTTTAAATTAATCGAAGACGACTACATAAAAATATCTTTTTGATTGTGGATAAAATCCTGTACTAAATATTTTTTTCCAAAATTTATTCTTTAAACAAACCAAACAATCAAAATAGGTTCAGTCAATCCATTTCCAATTTTTTTAACATTCAAAAAAGGTTCACATCTAATTTTAATTAATTGTTTATCAATACATTCAGGTAATTCTTCATTATCTAATTTGCCCTCATTTAAATTATTTTTATTTAAATTATTTCGAATAAATAATTCATTTGGCAATAAATAATTACAAAAATCAACAGAACAACATCCAATACATTTTTCAATGCCTAAGTGATTTGTTTGACAACTTTGTCTAACACTTATGTTTTCCTTTAAAAATATTTGAAATAATAAACCTCAAGTAATTTACACCTTTGGGGCCAAGAAAGTGTATTTCGAGAGATATTTTAAATAGATAAATATGTCTTAGGCAGCCCCACCACCCTGTGACCAATGAAATTAAAAAAATAAATCCTTTAATGAGGTCTATTTAGTATTGAGTGTATCTTCTAGTATGTAGGTCCAAGCTAGTAGAATTTTTTTGGCCCAAGGGAATATACTATCGACTCCAAAGGAAGATTGGCGAATCCGAAAAAAGGCCGGATATCAGGAAATTTTCCGTTCGGATATCCGAAGATTTCAATTATCCAGCCAACCTTACTCCCAAGGGGTTCATCTATGTATTTAAATAAGATTATAAGAAATATTTCTTTTTGGCCCTCAAGGGAGTATCTCTAAACTTAAGTCCAAAACTTAATTTACTTCAAAAATTCCACAATCAATTTGTTTATCAGAACATCCTCTAAAAACTTCAAAAGGAGGTTGTCCAGTTCCATTAGAAAATGTTTGTACAGAACATAATTGGTTTAATAAACATTTATTTGTTTTTGTTAATGTTGGATTTGTTAAACAATTAATGTCTGATTTTGATGAACATGAATGGCACCAAATACTTTCTATAAATTTAAATAAATTATTTTTATGTACATATTTATTTAAAATTTATTTGTGATAGGTAGGCAAATTAATAAAGTGGATAAAATTTGAGAAGTAGACGGTGTTGGGAGTTATTCACTAATATCATTATTCACTAATTACTTGCAGACAAAGGTAAACTAATTAGAGGCTTTAGAATAAAGTTAGAGGAGAATGAGGGTTGCAATACCCAAATAACACCCTAAATTATGTTAACTAAACGAATATGTACGGGAACCCGGACGAATTGAATGTTCGATCGAATAAATTCGAATACTTAAAATTCAATTTTTGCATATCTCCGATCTCTAGTATAAACAATAATTCCCCAGAAAAATCCACTCTTTTTTTGCCCTCCACCCAAATTAATTTATAAAATAAAATTAAACATTTTCTCACCATTTTTTGTACATTCTCCTTTATCATTTAAATGAAGACCAAAAGGACATTTAATAATATTTTCATTTTTATTTCTTTTTATTTTTGTATTTAAATTTATATTGCCCCCTTTAAAATTAAATTTTTTTAAATTTATTATTTTCAGACTAAAACCTTTAACACAAATTTTTGTTAAATTTTTATTAATTAAATAATTTGGTTGTGAACAAACAAAAGTAATTTTATCACCAACCAAAACTTTATTTTTATTTGGTATTAATATTGAAGAAGATATGTTAAATAAACAATAAGAATTGTTAATATTTTTGTTTTCTATAAAGAGATTTTTAAAATAATTTAATTGGTACGAACCAAGCTCGTCTCTCCCCCTTACCTTTTTTAAAGTATTAAAATGGACAGACTTTAGGGCGATAA